TGAGGGCATTCTCCTCGTTCGCCGCTCAAAATCAGCGGACTCAACAAAAAGCTCATTTCCTAGGTTCTTAATCGTTTCCTTTTCCTTCCGTTTCGCTCAACTGAGCATCTCTTTCGTCACCCGGTAGCGCCAATCGCATTTGCGTGGTTACTTACTGTAAACAAAACCTAATTCATTGAGGCTGCTCTTCACTGTACCAAACACTCGTTTACTCTTCATCAGTCTCACGTTGTTGCATCAGCAACCCAGCACGCAAACCTCTGTTGTTATATTAGGCACACATGTGGATTACGGACTGCGCCATTGCAGAGTGAGCAGTGGTTGTCGAACGTGATCATGTTAAAGATACGTGTGTTCCCTGGAAAATTTCAGCTGAAACTGTTGCTAAACGATTAGATGTAACTCTTCAGTACTGATTTCAACGTCTCACCTTTATACTCCCTTGCTTTCCGTAAGAGTAGAATGCGTGGAATGGCTATCTTCTTCGAATTCAGGCACCTCGAACTGTCGAGTTTCGATCGCATGTATCCTAAAAGTAGACCTCTCCCTTATCACGTGTTCTATATTTTAATACCAGTAGTCAGCATTGTCGGAAACTCGCTCATTGTCTGCGCTACTCTACGTTCAAAGTAAGTATTTTACAAAACTATATGATGCCTAGTTGGAGGCTTGTCGTAGCATTGACCTTGTGATTATTTTTCAGAAAACTGAGGACACCTTGCCACATACTCATTGCTCTGGTATCTGCCTGCGACATTGCTTTAGTTTCATCAAATCTCATATCTACCACTTATCACAACATGTTAGTTTATAGGGAATAATATATTGAATTAGCAACTCTACTTACGATATTACAAATCGTCAGCATCATTTCATTTAGCGGCCGTTAGATTGCGGTAAAGATCAGAAAACAAATTTTGATATAAAAACAACTTGCTGTAATCACAGGAACGGCAAAGCTCTTCTCTTCATTAAATCTTTATCATATGACAACGTTTCGGGCATAAGCCCTTCGTCAGGTCACTCGATCTTAAATCAAACAGCATATACCCTCACAATGTTACAGCACTAATACAGTGAAAAGAGCAATAACCCACAAGGTAGAAGAGGGAAGGAGAACAGGGCTCCGTCAGGCCTCACTACGTGGCAGTAAGACAGAAATAAAGTGGAAGGATTGGGATTATTTATAAGGGTGCGGACTAGGGTGATCTAGCATTCGTCGCGTATGTCTCCATTGTGCACGTCTTATGCTGATAACAAACTCATTGTCACTTTCATCTCCTCCTTGATCGGTGCTCCTTGTTGCTTTATTTCCAGTGCCTCCCTGATCTTTCTTTCAACTGGATCTACCACATTTCTGTGTACGATGGAGATGCCAAGTTCCGGCGGTCTTTCTGTGCGTGCCTTAGTGTGCGGTGTCTCGAGAATGGGTTCTCCGGGTAGCTCTGTGGGTTCCGCAAAGCTCTTAGATGTTTCTCCATTCTCTTGTGAAGTGGCCTCGATGTTTCTCCTATGTAAAACTCGTGACATGAGAGGCACACCACCTTGTACACCACACACTTTTCCAGACACACCTTATGTTCTCCACAGATCACACAGTTAGCTCTTTCACATCGACTCTCGTATGGTCGCGAAGATGTTAAAAGTTGTCGTAAGTTAAGAGGTGGTCGGAACACCAGGCTTATAGGGAGCCCTGATCGTCTTAAGCTAGAGAAGTGCACTCTGGATCAACTACAGCCGAAGTACGCAAGTACCGACTTATTATCAACTTGTGAAAACGCATAAGTTGGTCAGAAGTGAGCATGGCGATGTGGTGGGCCTCGGGTCCATTAAAACAAGGCCAATCGTGGCATCCTGTGGAGACCCAACGGACAGAATAAGCTGGTTTCTGCAGCCATCCTCTGTCCCCTGCTTTCATATGTTCACCATCACCTAAAGAACGTGAAGCAATTCCTAGAGCAACTACGACAGTGCAACGATAAACCACGGTTCTGCGATAAACCACGGTTCGAATACGAAAGTTTTGATGTTGTTGCACTTTACACCAATGTTGACGAACAAAGAGCTGTAGAGGCCTGTATGCGTCTTTTACGCCTCAACCACCAACATCTCAGCTCTTTGGCCTCCATGTCGAGGACATTTTTGAGCTCCTTCGGAACGTGGTTAGGGTGAACATATTTCGCTTCAGGAATGTCTATTACAAGCAGACGAGGGGACTCGCTATGGGAAGCCGATTGGCACCATTGCTTCCAATCATATTTATGGATAGCCTTGAAAGAGCAGCCTTAGCGTCTGGAGTTCTGTACTTCGAACGATACATCGACGACATTTTTATTGTCGGAAGATCAGGGACTGCACTACGACGGGCATTTGGAAAGCTGAACGGGATGTGTCAGTCAATAAAGTTGACAGCCGAGCGCCCTCCCCCAGACGGTTTTCTCCCATTTCTGAATACCAAAGTGAAGATCTCGGACGGTCAGATCAACACCATGTGGTATAAGAAGTTGGCATCCCAGAACATCCTCATTTACGAAAAAAGTTGCCATCCTCTTTACATGAAAGTGAATGTAGCACACCACATGGTTACGACATCACACGAGCTGACCTCCGCGAATCACGAACAAATGGAGACAGAAGTGAAGAACATCTTGCGGCAAAACGGATATGAAAAACGGCAGCTCCGATGCTGGAGGCCTTTCAGATCACCTTGTGGCACTTCACTCGTGTTACCTTTCATCACTCGACTCGTTCGCTATTGATGTTAATCGCGTGGTAAGACGATCACGGCTCCCTATAAGCCTGGTGTTCCGACCACCTCTTAACTTACGACGACTTTTAACATCTTCGCGACCATGCGAGAGTCGATGTGAAAGAGCTAACTGTGTGATCTGTGGAGAACATAAGGTGTGTCAGGAAAAGTGTGTGGTGTACAAGGTGGTGTGCCTCTCATACGAGATTAACATAGGAGAAACATCGAGGCCACTGTGAATGGAGGAACATCTAAGAGCTTTGCGGAACCCACAGAGCTAGGAGAACCCATTCTCGAGACACCGCACACTAAGGCACGCACAGAAAGACCGCCGGAAGCTCGCCTCTCCGTCGTACCAGAAATGTGGTAGATCCAGTTGAAAGAAAGATCAGGGAGGCACTGGAAATAAAGCAACAAGGAGCACCGATCAAAGAGGAGATGAGAGTGACAATGAGTTTGTTATCAGCATAAGACGTGCACAACGGAGACATACGCGACGAATGCTAGATCACCCTTGTCCGCACCCTTATAAATAATTCCAATCCTTCCACTTTTATTTCTGTCATACTGCTACGTAGTGAGGCCTGACGGAGCCCTGTTCTCCTTCCCTCTTCTACCTTGTGGGTTGTTGCTCTTTTCACTGTATTAGCGCTGTAACATTGTGAGGGTATATGCGTTTGATTTAAGATCGAGTGACCTGACGAAGGGCTTATGCCCGAAACGTTTCATATGATAAAAATTTAACGAAGAGAAGAGCTTCGCCGTTCCTGTGATTACAGCAAGATTAAACACAATGAAGCTCAGGGAACCATCGATTCTGATAAAAACAACTATTGAACAGCTGATCTCAGAAGTAGCCTCTATTATAATCTTCAGCTGGTTCCCCCTCGATTAATAAAAGTCTGTCCGAATGAACCCGTCTGGATGTGATCCAAGAAGACTGAACACCCACTCTTATGTTCACCTACATTTTTAGTTGTTATATTTTAGTTCCATGAAACAAAATAAGCATTGCCTAGCCAGGATGGAACGACTTTCAGTGCAGGAGCCTCAGCACCCAGGAATCCCTCTATTCCTGTCTTCAGCTGACCGATTTGCGCGTCATGAAGCCGAACGTTGTAGTGAAGCTGCCTTGGTTCAACAATATCGTAGTCTCGTTCTTGATTCCTTTGGTCAATGGCATAGACGTAGTAGCCGTCCTCTTATTTGTCCCACGTTAGATGTTCCACCAACTATCGCTCCTTCCGGAAGACCCCCCCCCCTTCAGAAGTCCGCGCGGTTTATTCGCGTTTAGCTGACCCCACTTCTCCACCCTGGAGACGATGAAACCAGCGCTGTTTATCCACTTTCTATATTCTTCCGGAGATGTAGCACAAAGACCATTGACAACCGGGGCAGCCTCGCGTTTTATAAACTCGCAGTATATGGATACGAGGCTTAGAATTTATGTAATGAAATACGCTGCGCTCATATTCTTGAGAAGAATTTAACAGTAAAAGGGCTCAGTTCAGGATATGGTACCGCTCGATGCTTGGGTATGTGCTCTTCCAAATCATTACAGAGTAATGGCCATTATGGCAACGGTAACAGAAGGAAATAAAAATCAACAGAGCGCGAATCGTTATGCTATGTTTGAAACTCACATTCTAGGTTGAGGAAGTAAAGAAACTTTGACTTTGCAGTTTACAAAATGAAAGTAGTGCATTCTCTAAGTTGTAGTGCGGTGCAACCACCGATGCAATGCTGCTTACACCACTCCGCTTGCTACGTTTGTTTTCTCCATCGACTCTCCATCCACTTGGTAGTAGCGCTCCACACCCTCCGTTGGTTACCTGAATCTCACTTGGCTATTTTGATGCAGCACAGACCTCATTTAATTCTGATGAGCTCTAAAATTTTCTGCAGTTTCCTTGGCCTATATCGTTTTTTTGCTGAACGACGTGTCTTCAGAGTTCAAAGCGACGTAATTCCGCAGTCTACTTGTGTTTACCTTCAACTGGTCCCACTTTTTGGAGCGTGTGCTTCGCCACTGCTTCTACTTAGTGTCGCTGTCGACAGACTGCTTTCTTTGATGAAATTTTAGTGAGTTTCAGTCAGATTGCTCAAAACATACAAAAAGACCCAATATAGAATCATCATAATCGAAAGAATGTGAAAGTTTCTGCAGTTCCAAAAGACGCTGCCCGAGATCTCAAATCTCTTGAGCCCCTGTCTCAGTAAAACTGATGTATCGCAGACATGTATTTATTAATTGTTATTAAGCCGATCTCTTGTCAAGTCCTACAGCAAACTATATGTAGCGGCACAAATTTTACCTGCATGCGTACTAGGTGTAACTTTGGACGTGGTGGTCTTCATATATCGAAAACAGGAAGAGTAAGTACTGAATTCATTCATAGTTCCAATATTAGCAGATGGAACAAACCGTGGTCGCACTTGAACCGACTCATTATTGGGTATTTATGTCCTCTGCAATGATAATATTTCAACTTATCATATCAAAAACGAACTAAAAATTTTCAGAAAAGTTTTGTGTACCTTGCCAGTGCCAATGTGGGGCGGAATAAATGAAATTTACGCCAACTGCATTATTATAGTGTGCGTTCTGATTATTTCGTGCTATGGTTCCTTCATATTCTTCTTGAAAAGGGTTCGCATGAGTGAGTTCCATCAACGTCTCGCTCAATGACATAAAGTTGCACTCATGTTGAGAACTCTGAGAGTTTTCAGACGAAGGTGCTTATACAGATTCCTATCAATAATCTACGCTGTATTTGAAATTGCACAGCTCCTGGGAGCAAATTTGTGTTGATAATTGAGTTATTTTAGGCAGCGAGAAAATCAAGGGTATCTATCGCTCTCTGATTCTTATAAGCCTATCAGTTGTGTTTGGTTATTTCAGCACCATGATTGTTGTTTCAGCGAAGGGACTCCTAAACCTGAAAGTTGAAATGATCTCTCTAACTCTCTTCGCAGGACTATTCGCTACTTCGGCAACTGCTGTAAACTTTTTCATTTACTATGGCATCAGGTTAGAGAGGCGCTTCATTTTTTCAGAAGTTTCACAAAATCAGAAGCTCGTAGACAGTAGTAGACCATGACCACCCTTTTAATGCAAAGGCTCGAGGCAGAGAGCCACTCTCACTGGACCCATTAACAAACTCTTCACGCGATATAAAAGCATTGACTTGTTTGCCTATTAGTTTCTGAAAAGCAAAACTGTGTATAACAGTTTATATCACCGTAACAAGTCGGTTAATCAGTCGGTATCCGCCGCGTTCCCAACATGGCTACGGTTTCACTACTGAATCGATCACTACTCGATTGGCGTGGTGGAGCAAGGCAGCCGAAGGTAGGTCCATGCCGTGCTGCTCTCGCCACCTCCGACTTGTTGCGGCGTTGTAAGCTGTAAAATTCAAATTTTTCGGCGATCCTTGTGATCACTAGCCAACTGAAGAATGAATACCGAAAGTTAGAGTTGGTTCAAACCAGTTTTTCTGAACGAATCTCTTTGTGCAAACCAGAAAAGAAGTCTTAATTATATCATAGCGAACTGAAAGAAAAGAAGTTCCAATAGCTACGACAAAACAGATACGACAAAACACCCTCTTTTGATGGGATTACCAAATCCGTTCATTTCTCCTCTGATTAAAACTGTCCTGCAAACACCATTTTCAGCAAGGACTACCGCGAAATATTCGACGAACTTCTGGGAATTGGTCGCCTGAAGAAAAAGTGCTCCAATAAAACCCATTGCAGTGTTGTTCAACAAGCTACGAGATTATCCGTTCGGTCTAGAGCTAGGATCTCTACAAGCAACGTGGGATAATCAAATTGCAAGAACACTGTTGTGCGATAGGTGGTTCGATAAAACAATGATGATATCACTAATGGTTAAGAAAACGGACATAAATTCCTTCATTATGTACCTCTCCAGAAGCTGATCGCCAATCTACTTTCCAGTTTTGCAGAAGAATTTTTAGAAGAATTACAACTGCGCCGCCATCACCGGATCGTGGGTGCGGACTTGTTAAGCAGGAACAAGGCCGAAAGTCTTCAACACGCTGATGACATTCTGAGTCACCGGTGGCTCAGAAGTGAGTGGCCACGTGGGCCAATTTGAGCCACCGGTGGCGCACATTCTCCATCACTTTGTTACTGCCGGCACTCTCAATCGATCTTTTTCTTGCTTTTGAATAACCTGTGAAAGGTGCATGTCCAACATGAGCATGAAAATATTGCTGCCTCCATAGGATGCTTTGAATCGAAAATTAGAAAATTTTCAACAAGCTATTGCTGCGACAGAAAGCTTCAGAATAGTTCTTCTTGGATGGAATCGGCTAAAGGGTTTGCGCGGGGCTTTGATCATGAGCGTGAGATCTTATTTGTCGTTGGTGCCATATGGCGCTAGGCGCCATATCGGCGCTAGAGTCTTTTTGGCACCGAACGCTATAGAAACTTTCATAGCTAGGTTGTTAGACATCGTTGTAAAGAGTACCTACGTCTGCCAGTGTTGGCGCCACCTGGCACCAGCGGGCGCCACCTATGAATCATTGTAGTGTGTGAAAAGCAGAAAATTTCAAGAAAATTATTAGAAACAGATGGTATGGCATCAGTTTGGAAGTCACGATTGCGTCAAAAAGTGGGCGTGATCACAGGGGGCGGGGCGTGAGGTGCTATCCAATAGGGTCAAGGATGGTTGAAATAGCAGTCCCTGCACGACTGACTAGTCATCTGCGAATTTTGACATAGCGGCAAAAAAGTGGTTCACGAGGGACAATATGAGCCACCGGTGGCTAAAGCGGACGCGTGCGAAAACATGCCATTGCCCATTGCGCTTTCTCTCAGAACGCAGTTGTCGTCAACGTGTTATGCATAGTTGCTGCATCATTGGATCACGGTCATCTGTGGTCAATTACCCCGTACGATTGAACGACTTTTGGAATCAACGCTCCACTGTTGTTCTGACGCGTGATATGAATTTCGTGCCGTTCCTTAGTTGCTTTGTTTATCCCTCAGCGCTTATGATCGTTATCACTTTTCATCCACCGGACACCATCTCTTTTTCACTTATACTGGAAGCTCTGCGATTGAATCGAGGAGAGCTCTGAACTTTCAGCAAAAGACGAACTGTCCTCCAGGGTCTTTCTATTGTAGCCACTCGTTGTGAAGGTACACTGCATGAGGGTGGGCTTGGGGTGAGAGTTATTTTTTTAAGAATCCTTATTGCTGATTCACGTTGACGACATTTCTCGCGATCAAGTGATCCGCGAACTCTCCCCATGCACCCGCAGTCGCAGAGAGTGTATCACTTTTCTTATCCGACAAGGCGAGATGAAGCGACTACAGACGCGCGTTTTCGCTTTGACGTTTTCATTTTGTAGGACAACTAATACTTATACGGTGGACTACGTCCGCATTCTGTATTTCGATTTCATGTGCCAGTATCAAAGCCTGTCGACCTCTTTGCGAGCTCATGAGTTGTCCCGCCCTCCGTGGATATCTTTTTCGAAAACAAGTAGGCAATAGGTCTGCCCCGCACGGAAGATGCGTTTCGGCGCTGATTAAATTCAGCAGTAATGCAATCGCATTGCTACGGAAGCTCCTCGTGCATCGCCTACCATAGTCCTAGTGTCGTGACTTTCGTACGACTCTTCTTAAAGGGTCGTGTTTATGGCTGGGCGCGGCGGTCCTGGCGCGCTTGGCGGAACGGTCGAATGTTCGCGAAGTCGAATGCAGAGTCGGCGTAGACTCCGGCCTGTCTGTCACTTCTACAACCTGCAGCCGTATCGACTGGTCGCTCCACTTCGCTCTCCGTTCTAGCGTCAACGTATTGTCCATCTCAGCTGGTCGCAGTCAATATCGTCAACGAGCCGTACCACACAGAGGAACCGCACTACTACGGGCCGTCGACTATCCCAGGTAACCACTAGGTGTATAGGTGCATCCGAACCTTCCGGGCAGACGGAGGGGGAGGATGTTCCCGATGCCCTGGTGGGCTGTCCTCGTGGCCCGTAGGCAGTGAGGCAGGGTTCGTCCGTGTAGTGTAGGGCCTTATCATTAATCTTTGTAGTTGTTATTTCCTTGTTGTAGTTATATATTAGAGAGGTAAATCAATTCAATAGTGTGTGTATTGTTATGTAGCAATAGTGGTCAAGCCACAACATTCCTTGAACATTCATTTTCAACAGTCTTATCACAGGTTTCTGCATAGCTGTTAATATACCGGCTGTTGGTCTAGGCCACATATTAGGAGTAACCTAGTTCGCGGCTAGGTGAGCAGGTATCTTTAGGTAGGGCGTGTAGGTAGGGCATAGGTAAGTGGGTTAACATCTGGTGCATGATCGTGACGGGCGTCCAACGCAGGGGCAGTAAGGGCCTACCTGTAGCGGATAGCAAAGTTAGCATACCACGTGGCAGCACCGTAGCGAGCATAGGCAAGCGCTCGTAAGCCCCCAGCACGTACTCGCGCCGGCGCGGATCCTTCCCCCTCAGCACACCGATGCTACGTCAGAAGGGTCTATGACCTGGTGAAGAGCCAGGCCGTAGGGGGACGGAAGCCGTCTCCACATGGTGCATACGGCTGGGATTCAACGTGCGGGAAACCCACGTTGGGCCTTAGTGAGCCTTGCCTGCGCTTGCCACGTACCTGTAGCTCTAGTTAGTAGTTGTAGTGTAGTTTTCGTTACCATCTGGTTGACACGTTTGCTTAGTTGACATCATGTACGCTATAACTGGGGTTATACCCTCTCCTGCCCATGTGGGACCGTGAACTCTTACCCAAGTCGACTAAGTGGCACAGTCGCATCTTGGGGACAGCCGTGATACGTCGAGCCACGTTAACTCTGCGCAGGTGGGCAGGGGGAATGGATGACATGCCGTAAAAAGCATGTTGGGAACCCCTCCTATCATGTCGTTGCATACAAACTTGGGTCGGCGGAGATGCCGTATGTAATTGAGCCCTTGCCCGTAACTTCACATGCTCTGGGGCCTTAGTTAGGAGGCATAGGCGTCACGTTGCAATCGCTGTCAACCAGATCCGTGCGCTTACAGCACTCCTATTTCTTCTATTGCTTCCTCGTTCTTTTCGATCATGTACCTTTCGGGTATATACCTGTGCCCTGTCTTCACGCCTCCTCGTGCTCATTCACCATAATATTTGCTTGGCCAGCACCCCGCATACTTAGTTAGTGATATTCCTGCCGCAGGTAGCTAGTGGCCAATAGCTGCTCTACGGCCAAACAACAATTCACCTTTCGTAGTTATAGAATTGGGTACGGCAGCTACCGCCTCCTGCCAACTATCATTGTGACGTCCATCAGTGCGTACAAAGCAAAGATGATAAAGGCATTACCGCGTGGGAAGCCGTCAGAGGTAAGATTCCCGCATCTTTATTCCACTCTATAGATGCGAGCGTAGGCGACCAGCCTCAAACGCTTGAAACGCGCCAAGCTTCTTTAGCACATCATTTGACACTGGTTCGCGCAGCACTTGACGTGTTGAAAGAGCGCCGTTCAGCATTCGTAGCCTTTGTTACAAAGTCGTCAAAGTCAGATGCTGACAGCAAAGCGTACCAGCAATATCTCCAAGAAACTCGCATAGACGAGGCTACCGTTGCGGCTGAATCTATCGTAGCGTTTCTTTTCGCATGCTCAGAAGAGCTAGAGCGCTTGCCGAAAGCAGTCCATCCGTAGCTCTTTATGAAACAGTCGAGGATGCTCCTGTACGAGTTCAAGAACAACTACAGGAAGATCCTGCAGCCGCGCCTAATACATGCTCGTCGTATGCGCAGCTGCAGCAGTACTCCATCGCGCCTAACCTTTCGCCGCCTTATGGACCATCACACTTCGTGGGCCATGATGCCTCCTTGTTCGGCCCCATGCAAGCACAGCCGGTTGTACAGCTTGGCAAACTTGCATTGAAACCGTTCACGGGAGACATCTCACAATTTCGTAGGTTTTGGTCCGCATTCGAGCGCTTTATAGTGATCAAAACACTCCACCGGCTTATAAGCTTTTGTATATACAAAGTCTGCTTAAAGACACATAGTACGCTCATACACATTGAGGGTGTATGAGACAATCAGCCCCCCAGATATCGA